AAGGCTATAGACTATTACTGCTGGACCATATCAGCTGCAGAGTTAGGGACCATTGGCTATCCATTGTGCATACCCATAAAGACAGGTGAGTCAATTTGCAACTGTCTCTCAGACCTCAGAGAAAAATAAATGACTGACTAGCAAGGATCCAAGATAATGAACCAAAGAGAACCACAAATGAATGTAACTAAAATCAGGATGAAATTGCTCTGGAAACAGTTATCATTTCTGAAATTTCACTTATACATGGACCGTTTCCAAGAAGTCAAGCAGAAAAGAACCTAAAGAGACCAAAATGTCAAACAGAAAAATTGGTGACTTTTCAGTATTGAATAAGGCATTTAAGAGCCACTTATTGAGAGGTGGCAGAGGGGACAGAAAGGTTGACCTGGATCTGTACTGAAGAGTCCGGATGGGCTAGGCTCCAAGAAAAAGACAAGCACAGAATACTCTTAATGGTCAATTGTTCCTGGCAAATATAAGTCAAATCTCCTCCTGAGCAACAGAATGTGACCTAAAGAGTGTAAAATTGGCAGAACATCTGCCATTCAGTAAGAAAGTTACAAAATCGACAAGAAGTAAACTAGATGGCCCCAAATTAATATAAATATAAATATATATAAACCAACAGATACTGAAGATACCAAGTTTGAACTTTAGTGTAACTATACAACATGCATAGGAAAATATATCTTTAATGCTATTTAATGTGTCTATAAAATAACACATTGAAAGTTGGCCCAGGATAGATTTACCAGATGTGTGGGCCTATCAGCTGACAAGTCCTAAATTAAGAGGAGAAGGCCTCATTCCAGCCCACCCAAGATCCTTACATCCCCCACCCACCCAGGAGAAGCTGATCAGTGACTTCCCTAGCCTCCCTCTGCTTCTCAGAGCTCTTTCTTGATCTCTGTGTTCCTTGATGTGTATTTGTGTACATTCTCGCCTTTGGTAAGAGCAGATTTTATTTATCATTTCTGTCTGTTGTGTCAGGGAGTTTCCCCACTTCCCTTGAAAATATTCCTGGATATTTACTTCTTTATTTGTCAGAGAAAATTTGACCTTGTCCACACCCTTAAACATTAGGTTAAAATCTGTGGAGAAATTCTAGTTCTTTGTCATGAATGCTTCTTTTTCTGGAAATTTTAACTGTCTTTCATGTTTCATTATTCTCTAATTCTCTGATGTCTTCAAAGAGCAGTGTCTTGTTTCTGGTGTGTGTGTGTGTGTGTGTGTGTGTGTGTGTGTGTGTGTGTGTGTTTCCTTTCTGTGGGTTAGCTGTATAATCCATCATACCTAAAAGTAAAATCATCTGTATCTTTTAAAATAATATTACCATCAGCATTACTTAGTCCTTTTGTATCCTTGACATTGAACTACTATGAATTCAGACATACATCAGTGTGACCAGGAGATCTCATCACATTGACTGAAGACTTTTCCAATGTCAGAATATTCTCCTTAATAACCAACTCCTAATTTTCTACTTGAGATGAAAGTCATCATGGCAGACACAGTGTTTTCATAACAGTGTTAAAGCATTGATTGCTTTTTATATTCACATTCATAGCACACAATTAAATGTTAAAGTAATTAGTAATTCTTTCATTTTCAAATTCTCATCTTAATGGAAAAGATGTAAAAACAGATCATCTAATGAAATATTGGAGGCACGGTGATTCTAGCAAGAAACAGTGAGAACATTGCATGGACTAATAGAACAGTGGAGATTTAGAGTTCAGGACACCTATGGAAGAGAATGCTGAAAGAAGATGCTCAAATGACGGATAGGGATCCAGGCTTTGCAAACCAAATTGAGAGAATAGACTTTGACAAAGCCAATGACAAATCATTTCAATATGTTTTGAACAATACTTAAAATCTAAAGATTTATTTATTTCCATGTGCTCAATCAGAGAAAAAGGAATAAAAGCAGGCAGTTTAGGAGTCTATAACAACTGGTTTTGAGTGCATTGTTACAAATTATGAGAAGCAATTCTATTGGGAACCTCCTTAGTCGTGTAATGGATGTGGTGACTGTGATGATTAATCTTGCTTCTCATTGAGTATGGATGGAGAATAACACAGGAAATGATCTCTGAGTGTGCCTACAAAGGCTCTTCCAGAAAAGTTAAATCAAGGAACACCCATCATGAAAGAGGGCAGTATTATTCTGCAGGCTGGGGACCCAGACTGAATAAAGGGAAAAGCAAGTTAAGTACAAAATTTATCTGTTTCCTCCCACTGTGCCTCAAAGTAGACTGTATACTGAAATTGCAAGGCAAATAAAACCCCTTCTTCCTTAACTCATTTTTATCTGTTATTCTGTGACAACACTGAGGAAAGTAACAAATAATGGGTGATAGTGAAATAAGTGATGAGTCACCATACTGTGACAACTGTAATAAAAGAAGAGAGCTCAAACACCTAGACAGAGGATAGGTTCTAAAGTGGGAACATATCTTCAGTAGACAGTTTCATGTTCAGGATGCTGGATTTGGGCACCTCTGGGGGAAATCAAGTGAGAAATTAGCTGGTCATATATTTTTGTCATTAGGAGAAAGATCTAGGGCATGGACAGTTTAGATTTGTCATTGCATTGATAGGTAAAGTCAAGCAGAGAACCTTTGGAGCAGACATCAGGGCCTTGGAAAATTTTGTGGAATTAGGAGGAAGGATAAAGAGAGGCAGAACTCTGTGAAATGGTGTCATGACAGACATCATAATACTCAATCAGAATAGAGTAAGGTGGTGGCAAGAGTGTTTCACCATGGATGCTGTGTCCAGTTCTTAAAGCTGAAAGGTCAGATATTTTTATCTTCCAGTAAGTTAACAAGGGGGAGGGTTGTGGATTAAAGGATTCTGAGAGTAGACTTAAGATTCTTGAGTTAGAGCCAGAGGACTGCAGTGATATATGCCTGAGTAGGTCCATACTGAACAGGGATGTGGAATTTGGCATTGGATAAATGCTGCTCACAGCGAGTTTCCATCCCAGCTCTGGACCTCAGAACTTAGGATCTCTGGTGTTTTCTTTTATTTCTAATTTTTTATTTTATGAGTAAGAGTATTTTGTATTCAGTTGTCTGCACTGCATGTGCGACTGGTAGTGGAGGCCAGAAGAGGGTGTCAAATTCTCTGAAACTGAAGTTGAGATAATTGTGAGTGTTCTATTTGTGGTGGGCATCAAACCTGGGTCCTCTACAAGGGCAATAAGTGCTTTTAAATGCTGAGCAATATCTCCCAACCCTATCCCAGTGCTTTAAATAGGTTGCCACTGAATTTGTTCAATTTCCTTGGGAGGAAATCTTATCTTCATTTTAATGTTCAGCAATTACTATATTAACTGACTTGAAGGAATCTTCCAGTTCTAAGAAAAACAGTACTTAAAAATCCATGGAGAGATAGTTTAAAATAAAAGGTTATCAGGGATTCTGCTCTTATCATGTACATAATGAGAATAATCCCAGAAGCCTGTCTTCATTGAGGAAGATTATGGACAAAACTGATATTTATTTTACATGTATTCTGTGCTGCACAAGAAATAGTTTCTCTAATTGGCTCACAAAGACAACTATCATGAAAGTCCTTTATTGTATTAAATTTGCACATAAAGTCACATAACAGGAGATTAACAAAGCTGTCTAGAACCATACAGCTAGTAGTCCTGTGAAGATGTACAGATTAAGATACATGTATAAGGATAAAATATAGGATATATATTTTATTCTGGGAGAAGTCACTTATACAAGAAATCAATGATCACAAGTTCCTGCTCCAAGGATCCACACCCAGGCTGCATTCTTTAATGCTATCAGAACCAAGAGAGAGCAAGTTTGTCCAGGACCCCAGACCAAATTCCACACTCTCACCTATGCACCTGTGACCATGCCCAAATGGGCATGGTCAGGTCACTACATTCCTGAAGTCCTGATTTGAATGAAGATACTCCAACTTTGAAGCTCTGTCACATTCTGACTTATAGTTCAGGGAGAAAGGGGATAAAGTTGGTTTGCTGTTTATATTGAAGCAATAGTTACCAGTGAATTTCCTGAAACTCATTTCAGTAGGTCAAGGAGCAGACTCAGAGTGGAGTATATAGGACATTTTTTGGCCAGATGTGTCTGCACTGATACTGACAATGAAGAGCTCATTCAGGTATGGGAATGCAAAGAAGGGGTAACGCAAGGATCAGAAAAGGGTTTCAAATATATCCAGGAAGATTTCTGATTGATTATGTATGGAAAGTATCCACTAAAAAGGGGGCTGGAATGACAATGTGAGTTACTTAACATGGGAAAGAAAGAGAAGTAGACAGTATCATAGGCTAATAGCCAAAGAAGCCAGAGTGTGTGGACATGTGGCTCTGCTAGGTCTGAGGGCCTCCATGGTGATGACTTTCCTTTGCTCTCTGAAGTGCAGTGTGGGACCTCGCCTGAGAGTCAATTACAGATAACTGAAGGTGGTGGTGTGATTTCTAAGGACAGTTGTTTTATATAGAGGACAGGAGACAAATGAGGTAGGGAGCTTTGTGTGGGTTTAGTTAGCAGGTTTTCATTTGATTTTCTCATATTAGAAGGATATGGGAACTAGGGGCATTGAAGAGAAGCATGGTTACTATACTATTGGGATCATGAAATCTCAATGTATACTGCTGTTTAAAGATGGCTTGCTCTGCCTCAGAGGGATCTTCTCATGACATTTCTTCAGATAAACATACCTAATAATTAATGAGATGGACTGACATTCTAATACTATGTTCTTCTTAACATACACTGGCTTCTCTATAAGCCACATTAACCATCCATGAAGAGCTGTTGGAACACTTAATACGATCATATGATAAAACATGTTTGCAAATATCTATGGTTCATGAAAGAAGAATTCAAGACCCAGTGATTTTATAGGACTTGTGGTTATTAATAAATGTTATTATTAGTGTGCAGTGAAATACAGACAGAGACAGAAAATATTCTCTTCTTGCTGTCATTTCAAAAAGTAATGTCCTCACTTTGGCAGCACATACTAAAATCGGAACAATAGAGAGAAGATTATCATGGCCCTTGTACAAGGAAGACATGCAAATTTATGAAATGTTCCATAATTAAAAAAACATAATGTACTTACACTGAGGGCAAAATACTATTTTGTGTTTCTTTGAAAGTCACAATTACTTATTAATGTGGCTTGTACACCTGCTGGGCATGATACAACTTCTCAGACTTCAGCACCAATTAGCTGTTGCCACACACATTTTTAGTCTATGCTTATTGTGCATTGAAGTGCTTATCATGCAGAAGACACAGACAATAATATCCTACAAAGCTATCATTTTATCAAAAGGAATGTACTAAGATCTAATATTAAATCTATAAACTATTTTTAGGTCACAGTTTGTGTTTTATTTGACACTGCTGTGTTTTCTTAGCAACTTAAAATACCCTACATTTTTAACTGGTATTTTTTAAATATTTTAATTAAAATGTAATTATTGTATTTTTGTACATTTTTATTAAAATAAAATTCATTAATTTCCTCTTTGTGTTGCCTCCCTTGAGCCACTTCCAAGTCCCATCCCTCAAGCTCCTACTATGCTCCCTAACTCTTACATTGATAACCTCTTTTGCTTTGATTATTATTGCTACATATATATGCATGTGCATTATGTATACAGAAATAACATATAACTACAATCTGCCTAGTCTGTTTTGTTGTTTGTGGTATATAAGGTCTCAAAGCTAACTTCTTTGTATTGAATAACCAGTTAGGGGATCATCCTTGGAAGATACTTATTCTTTTCTCTATAGTCATTTGTTGCTTATAGTTCTTTGTCTAGTGTTGGGATTCTGTGAGATTTTTTTTCCCAATCTGTATTAGTGTGTCTATTGATAATGACATTGATCGGGTCTTTTTTTATCATGATATTTCTATGAGAGACTCTTTCATAGCAGGCATACTGGTATTTTGGCTCAGACAATCTTTCTATACCCTTTGCATACCCAACAGCGACTCCTATTAACCACAACAATGACCAGACTGCCAACGTATCTACAAAGGTGCAGTAAGTGTCACTCACATGTTTGTAACCAACAGCTGTCCAATTGGACTTGAAGTTCATTCAACAGGAAGTCATCCCAGGTACTAGAAACCTAGGCAAGTTCCCTAGGTCCTGCATCTTAGAAGAGAGTCTATTATTGGTACTTTCTAGACCAGCACACTTCTTAGATATATTATAAATCTTGTGCTTATACTCACAGGAAAGTTGTTAAGAGTAGTTTTTCCTGTAGACCTTGGCCCACTGCCCCACCAGTCCCAAATAACACATTGAGACATTGTCTTTGATATAATGCTGTTGGCTAGTTTCTAGTTTCTTATTGCTAGCTCTGTCTTAATTATTAACCCATTTCCATGAATCTGAGTATTTCCATGTGGTCTTATCTTACCGGAGAGAGAGCCCAGAGTACTACCAAGTAGGTCCTCCATCTTGGATATCATCCCTACTCCTTCTTTTCTCCTCCTTATCTCCTAAGCCCCACCTCTCTTGCTTTCCTATTGGCCAACAGTAATTTATTCATTAACCAATACGAAAAATATACTTACAGAATTACATCTCCCATCAGAAAGTGTAACTACCTCCCCTCATAAGATAAGCTACCCTTCACATTAAATGGAGATCATTACAGTAAAATACAATTGTACACAGGGATTGTGGAGAGCTGAGACCTGATGGATATATCTACACCACAGCTCATGCATCAATATCTCAGTGACCATTGTGCGAGAGCGTATGGAAAGATTATTAAGAGTCAGAACCCCTAGATTCTTTCTTGCAGTAACTTAAAGTACCTACATGCAAAGGTTGGGAACCAGGTTGTTTACAGAACATCAATGAAAACAGTGCCTTGAGAATTTATTCTTTTATTAAAATGTACTAGTTATTATGGTAAGTACTTATTGGCACATTCCTAAAAGCTGATACTCTAAGATCCCTTGGTAGATTTATTGTCAGTCTAGAAATACCAATGGCAGCATATGGTGGAGAGGATGTGGAGAAAGGGGAACATTTCTCCACTGCTGGTGGGATTGCAAACTTGTACAGCTATATTGGAGATCAGATTGGCAATTTCTCAGGAAAATGGGAATAAGTCTACCATAGGACCCAGCAATTCTGCTCTTAGGCATATACCCAAATGATCCACATCCATGCAACAAAGACATCTTCAACTATGTTCATAGCAGTATTATTTGTAATAGCAAGAACCTAGAAGCAACCTATATGATTCTCAACTGAAGAATGGATAAAGAAGTTGTGGCATATTTACATAGTGGAATACTACTCAGCGGGGGTGGGGGGGATAGAATCTTGAAATTCACAGGCAAATGGCTTGAACTTGAAGAAACTATCCTGATTAAGGTAAGGTAACCCAGTCACAAAAAGAGGAACATGGTATGTACTTACTCATATATGGATTTTAGACATAGAACAAAGGATCACCAGCTTATAATTCATACTACCAGAGAAACTAGGATACAAGGAGTAACCTAAGAGATTCATACAAGGTCCCTCACAGAAGGAGAAAGGAAGAAGATCTGAACATATTGGGACTGGGGAAGCAGTGAGTGGAGTGGGAGTTAGGAGAAAGAGAAGAGTAAGAGAGGAGAACATGTGGGACCAGGAAGGAAGATTGAATCTGGGGACGAATAGATAAGAGCAATAAAATAAAATAAAATAAAATAAAATAAAAAAGAGGGGAGCCATTATAGATTTCAAGAGAATACTGACTCTAGAGAAATGTCCAGAGACCTACAAGGATGTCCCCAACTAACAATTTGAGCAACAGTAGAAAGGCTACCCTTCCCTGATAATGAGATTGATAACTAAGTTATATGCCATCATAGAGCCCTCATCTAGTATCTGATGGTAGCAGAAGCAGACACCCACATCTAAACACTGAGCCATACTCCTGGAATCCAGTTGCAGAGAGGGAGGAGTGATAAGAAAATGGGGTCAAGACCAGGCTACAGAAACCCATAGAGATAGCTGACCTGAACAAGGGGAAGCTCATGGACTCCCAGACCAAGAGCTGGGAAACCAGCATTGGACTGATTCAAACCCCCTGAACATGGGTCTCAGTTACAAGACCTGGGCAGTCTATGGGACCTCTGACAATGAAACCAGGATATATCCCTAGTATACCAAAGGACATTGGGAGCACTTTCTCCATGGAGGGATACTCCCTTAGCCTAGAGACATGGAGGAGGGTCTAGATCCTACTCCAAATGACTTGACAGATTTTGATGATCCCTCCAGGAAGGCATCACCCTACCTGTGGAGTTGGGGGGATGGGATGGGAAGGAGGTTGGAGGGCATTAGAGGGAGGGAGAGGGAATTGGGGTTGATATGTAAAATAAGATTAAATAATATATGTATATATACATATGTATATTAACTTAATATTAAATATATGAATTTAAAAGACGGGCTGTATGCTGGAGAGATTGCTCAGTCATTAGGACAGCTTACTGTTCTTTCAGAAAATCCAGTTTTAGTTCCCAGAACCCAGATTATGCAATTCACAACCAACTCTTAACTATGGATCCTGGGAGTCTGAGTTGGGGAGGGCATATAAACTCACAAAGGCTCGAATGAAAATTTTAAATAAATTTAAAATGTAAAATAAGTGAATAAAAGATGGATGTGCTTATTAGATTAGTGGGAATAGTTGAAGTTAAGTCTAAAAAATATAAATAACATGAAATCCTTCCCTTCTGAAAAACAGCATTACAGTGAGTGCTCAGGCACATTGCTGAGATAGTCCTGGAAAAACATACACTATCAGATCCTGAGATGTTTGACTGAGGATGAGATTGTAACCCTTGAAACTGATAAGTGATCTTCTTTATACAAGCTTTGTCTTCTTGCTGGTGGTAGGTCAATTGCATTGACTGCTGGGTGTAGCAATACAATGTCTTAGGATGTGTCTTAGCCTTTTATTGCTGTGAAGGGACACTATCACAATCTTATAAAGGAAAGCATTTCATTGGAACTGTCTTTCTGTTTCAGAGGTTTAGTCCATTATTGTCTTAGGTAACAGCATGGTTGCATGCAGGCAGATGTGGTGCTAGAGAGGTAGTCCAACATTCTTTATCCACATCAGCAGGCAGCAGTAAGAGAGTGACAATGGGCTTGGCTTGTGCTTCTGAAACCTCAAAGCCCACCTCCAGTGACACACTTCCTCCTAAAAGGTCACACTAACTCAAAAAAGGCCACACCTCCAAATAGTGCTACTCCCCAAGGGCCTGTGGAGATCATTTTCATTCAAACCATCACGGGCCTCTTCCTTCCTTAAATGTGAATCATCTTGGGACATTGGGATTGCAGAGGCTCCTGAAAGACTCACATGATTGTACCTGAGTCAATATCTCTCTCTGACTGATATTGCTTCTGCTATGTATGGACAGAATTTTGTCTGACGAGGGCTCCCCAGTAAACTTGATGCACACATTCGCACCCTAATCATTACAAGATAACATGATCCCACAAATCATTCTGATGACTATTACATAAAGTGTCTTTTGGTCACATACTATTTTACTTATGAATATACCCGAGGAACTGTTTGAGTTTATTTATTTGCCTGTGTATACAATGCACAAACTCTTGGGGAACGACAAGTCAAACTATTTATTATTGCGGTTAAATAAGGATCAGGATAAACAAATAAGCCGAATAGATGTTTATTCAGGGAGAAATAACTTACAGCCTAGACAGATGAACACCAGCAATTTCCGTCGGATGCTCTCCTGTCCGAGTCCCGCAAGCAAGAGAGCTTTTCCCGGCTCTTCCTCAGACCTCCTTCTACAGGTCACCTCCGCCCATGGCTCCACCCCCCCATGGGCGTGGTCAGTGCCACAGAAGTACTATTTCACTACAATTTATTTTCCCAAATTGATTTGCAAAACTTTTATTATTAATATTATGATAAAATATACAAGACACAGAATTGTACTTAATCTTTGAAATACCTTTCCTCTTCAATATAAACTAATATACAGATCCCAAGGTACAGTACAATTTTATGACACTGAAAATGATTCACACCCTTAG